ATCTTTAAAAGCTAGACCCACTGGCACGGGCCTGTCATTTCAGCTACATGGAAAGATGAAGCAGGAGGATCAGGACCTTAAGGCCAGCCTAGGCTACACAGAGAGTTCAAGGGTAGCCTGGGCAACTTAGTGAGCTCCTGGGTCGAAATTTAAGAAGTAAAAAGAGAACCAGGAATGTATAGTTCAGTGGGGAACCTGCCTAGCATATGTGATGCCCCAGGTTCCATCTCTAGTGCCACAAAAAATAAAAATAAAATTAGATGCACGATGTTAAAATTTGGACACAAAGAGATGAAGTGGAAATGGAATCTACATCATAATTTCATCTTCCGGTGACAACTACCCAGAATCTGTTCCACCTGTCTTCACAGACACAGGCTGTGCGTACGCCTTCACAGTCCTCTGAAGACCCAAGCCTGGCAGTGACCGCAGATGGATTTGGATGGTACCCAGGACAGACATGGCCCCAGCATGCCATGTGTATCGGCATGTTCAACTGTGCCTCAGCGATCCCAACTGCTGGCCTTGGTCTGTTCAAGCAGAAGGATGGGACCTTCACTTACCATGTACAGGAGAAAAGGCCAGCTCACGAGGTGCCGGGCAATGTTCTCGCCTGTCATTTTCTCGTGACTATTGGGTGCAAATGTCACTAGCAGGTAGGTGCCCACGATCGCCAAACCACAGCCAACAAAGGACAAGACATAGCGCCCTGTGGGGAAGGAGGGAGGATGATCAGGGGTTCAGGGCATGAGTCAGGTGCATAGGGGGTCCTTGGCAAGTCAGGGCAGCCTTTGCCTTTGTCCTGGCTAGTTTTATCTCAACCCAACACAAGCTAGAGTCATCTGAAAATGAGGGATCCTCAACTGAGAAAATGCCTCCAAAAGATCAGGCTGCAGGAAAAACTGTAGGGGCGTTTTCTCAATTAGTGACTGATGGAGGAGGGTCCAGTCCATTGTGGGAGGGGCCACCCTCGCCTGGTGGTGGTCCTGGGTTCTATAAGAAGGCAGGCTGAGCAAGCCATGGGGAGTAAGTCAGTAAGCAGCACTCCTCCATGGTCTCTGCCATCAGCTTCTGCCTCTAGGTTCCTGCCCTGCCTGAATTTCGGTGCTGATTGCCTTCTGTGAAAGACTGTGGGTGTAGAAGCATAAGACAAACCCTTTGCCCCCCAACTTGCTTTCAGTTGTGCATTTCACCATAGCAACAGAAACCCAAACTCAGCCTGTGACAGGCGTCTGGCACTTTTTGGTTGTCTTTACTTCAAAAGAGCAACCTTCCTTAATGTTTTCTCCTAAGGTTTATTTATGTATTTTTATGTGTATGAGTGATTTGCCTGCATGTATGTGCACTAATGAGTACCTGGTGTTTTGGGGGGTCAGAAGGCATCAGATCTCCTGGAACTGGAGTTATGGACAGTTGTGATTCACCACGTGGGTCTTGGGAATCGAACCTAGGTCCTCTGCAAGACCACCAAGTGCTCTTAATCACTGAGCCATCTCTCCAGGTTCCCTTAATATGTGTGTGTTTAATTTATTGTTTACGTACTTGATTTGATTAATGTTTCCACAAAACTTTAAAATTTTGTATTTGGTTTGTACTGGTGTTTGGCCTGCAAGAAGTTACAGATGGTTGTGAGTTGTCATGTGGATGCAAAGAACCAATCCCAGGTCCTCTACAAGACCAGCCAGTGCTCTTACCCACTGAGCTATTTTTCCAGCACATTTTTTTTTGTTTGTTTGTTTTCTTTTTTTTTAAAAAATATTTATTTATTTATTATGTATACAATATTCTGTCTGTGTGTATGTCTGCAGGCCAGAAGAGGGCACCAGACCTCATTACAGATGGTTGTGAGCCACCATGTGGTTGCTGGGAATTGAACTCAGGACCTTTGGAAGAGCAGGCAGTGCTCTTAACCACTGAGCCATCTCTCCAGCCCCATCCAGCACATTTTTTTAAGATTTATTTTTATTTATGTGTATGCCTATGTATCTGTATGTTACCTGTATGTGACATCGTGCTTCTTATGTTATTGGGGAGAGTTCATCCCGGCATCCTCACATATGCTTATCATGTATTTTGTGCACATCCACTCCCCTAAATGTCATTCCAAAAATTTTAACAAAACCAGGTGTGGTGGCACACACCTTTAATCCCAGCACTTGGGAGGCAGAGGCAGGCGGAACTCTGAGTTCGAGGCCAGCCTGGGCTACAGAGTAGGTTTCAGGCCAGTCAGGCTCACACAGAGAAACTCTGTCTTAAAAAAACCAAACAAAACCAAAAAACCTTAACAAAATTCTGTGCAGGTTGACATACACATGCACAGGGGAAGTGCTAGGTGAATTCTCACACTGGGCAGGGACACCATGCCCGTGTCCCCAGCACCCAAGACAGGTAAGGAGACATCAGGAAGGCCCCACCTTCCATCCCCAGAGCCTCCCACAGGGTGCCATGGCCCTGACTTTGAGCACCATTGAAGGCATAGACTGCTTTGGTTCTTACAGACACGGCCTTGTGTAGTTCCTTTGGTCACTCAGCATGGTGTTCATGAGGTCTGTCTGTACCAACTGGGTTCATTCATTCTTACAGCCGAGCAGTGACCCGTGTGACACTGACCCAAACACCTATTGTCTGCTGCTGGGCACATGTGTTTGTTGCCTGGGATTGTAGAGACTGTGTTGCTGTGGACATTCCTGTCTGTGTGAATCTCTATTGGGTATAAAGTATACAGTGGAACCCTGGACCACCGGGTAGGTGATGTTTGGTTTGATGGTTACCATGACATGGCTCTCCAAAAAAATGCCTGTAACAATTTATACTCCCATCAGTAGTGTGGAAGGGCTGTTTGTATGCTTGCTAACATGTAATGTATTGTAGTCATTCTGGGAGTGGGCTATGTTTCACTTTTTTTTTTTCAGTACCAGGAGTGGAATCCAGAACCTTGTTCACTAGGCAAGCTTCCCCAGTGAACCACACCCCTAGCCCCTGCGCTATGGTTCTAACGTGCACTTTACAGGGAAGTCCCAAGCCTAGAATCCCTTTATGAGCATGCTGAAAAGGAACTGAAACTCACTGTGGAATATTTGTTTAAATATTTTGAATACAGTGTAAATATGTGACTCTGCCTTAGGTGCCTTCTGATTGATTTAATAAAGAGTTAAATGGCCAACAGCTAGGCGGGAGGGATAGGAGGGATTCCCCAGAAGAGAGAGGAAGAGGAGAAGAAATCTAGGTGCGAAAGACACCACGGAGAGGCGAATGAGTCGAACACACAGAATGGGAGAGAGGTAAAAACCAAGCGGTAGAATGTAGATTAGTAAAAATATGGTTCATTAAGTTATAAGAGCGAGTTTGCCAGGCCTATGCCAAGGCCGAGCTTTTCTAATTAATAATAAGTCTCTGTGTCATTATTTGGGAGCTGGTAGCTCAAAGAAAAATCCAACTACAAAAACTCCCCAAAGAAGACTCCACAGTCCAATGGGTAACTTTTAAGAATGACTGTTTCTTTTCCAGGCAGCTACTTAGCCTACTTGCAAGGAACAGTCTCGGTGCTGTTGTTACTCTGCCCAGAGGCCGGCCAGGGACCAGCATCGGGACCCAGGACACAGTGGAGGTCAAGAGCCCTGTGCCTCTCCCCTGGCATCCTGTCATACTCCAGAGGGGACGGTCCAGCCTAGGCACGGCCGGCTGTGTGCTAAGAGCTCTGATCTACGCAGCTGCTGAGGGAGGGCTCACTCTGTTTACTCCAGCAACCCTAAGCCTGGATGTGTATCCCCAACACTCCAGCAGTTTCCTCCCTGTAAAGTTCTACGTCCTCAGTCCCACCACCTAGACGGGTGGTTCTCAACCTGTGGGTCATGACCTCAGGGTCATAGGGGTTGCATACCAGATATCCTGAATATCAGACATTTACAGTATGACTCATAACAGTAGCAAAATTACAGTTACAAAGTAGCAAGGAAATAATTTTACAGTTGGAGGGGGGGTCACTGCAACATGAGAACTGTGTTAAAGGGTTGCAGCATTAGTCGGAAGGCTTGGGGCACTTGACACTCACGTCCAGGAACATGGACCCCAAAGGGGGAGTGAGAGGTGGAGGGGCTGTCCATGGGGGGGGGCTGGCTCCATCAGAGACTTACTCACGAAGTCCTTAGGTTTCCATTTTTCTTTGATGAATATGATTCCAATGATGGCGCTCGCTGGGAAAAAGCCAAGGAGAGAGAAGAAGAATAAGGTTGCTGCCAGGTGGAGGGGTGGCCCACCCACTCATGCCCTCTGGGTGGCTCATTTGCACATGTCCCCCAGAGATCTTAACCTCTGAGCCAGCTCTTTGGCTCGACCCCCAAATCTTGTCACAGTTATTTACTTATTGATTTATTATGGTACTGGGTGTCAAAACCAGGACCTGGTCCCAATCAGGCCATCATTCTGTACCCCCAGGTCTCAGCCTCTGCGTTTGAAGCTGGTTTACTTACTCAAAATCAAAAACTAATATTTACAGTGTTGGTCCCTTGGTCATTTATTCTTCACTGTGAATGAAGGTTCCAAGAGGTCATTACAGACCCCAGCAGTGGACAAAACGATGTAAATTTAACTATCGATGGGGGCTTGGCAGCGGCCTGAATGCAGGAAGCAATCCAGAAGATAATAGGAAAGACAGAGATGGCTAAAAGACTTGCCTTAACCAATGGCATTCAAACCACCTTAGAAGAAAACACTGGGAAAAGAAAAAATACTGGCCCGACCTAGTAGCTAAGCAGCAAGCCCTTGCCCAGCACACACAAGGACCTGGGTTTCTCTCCAACACTTAACAGAAAAGATCCTGGGTGGAAAACCTCAGCACAGCTTCCGCAGTCAGGTGACCAGCCCTGCTTCACAAAGGAGGTTCTTCTAGAAGCAATGCGGAGATCCAATCAAGTTTTCCATTTTGTCAGTTTCTTATAACTGATAGTGGCTGCCTGCAGAGCAGAGAATTCTGAGGTCCAACCTAGGCAGTTGGGATTGATTAATGATGTCTGAGGTCCAACCTAGGCAGTTGGGATTGATTAATGATGTCTTTCCTGAGCCCAGGAGGGGCACAGTTACCACACATGCGTCACGCACAGGCCCTCCCTGCGGTGAAGAGAACCTTAGGATTCAAGCAGAGGTAAGACGCCAGGATTTGCTGTTTTCCTGAGAGCAGGGGAGAGTGGAGCTAGCAACATGGAAGGGGACACTCAAGATGAGCCCATTGTTCCGGCTCCTGGGCTATCTCTATTAGAATTGGATTTTATCTGTCACCTTGGGGCATTAAAGTTCTTTCATCTTTGGCCGGTTGGTTCAGGTGCTCTGATATGGAAATCACGGGAAAATGACACGTGGGAAAGGTAATGATGGCACGTGACTGGCCGGGAAAGACCTGAGCACCAACAGCGTTTCTCAGAGGTGCAAGACGGTGAAGAGATGAAAGCCGTAGGCCTTGCCAGTGTGAAGACACTTCGATGAAGGCTGAACTCCCTTCTGCAGTGGCCATAAAAACCATTGTAAAGAAAATGTTCTGAATCTTAAACACAGTCTGGAGACCCTGCTCGTACCCCTGCCTGCCACTGGTGATATGTACCTCACTTCCTCTATCTGTAAAATGGGTGCTACCAGTCAAGGCAGCCCCACAGAGTGCTCAGAGCTGGACCTGTGGGTGACACTGATGGCAGATGTTCTTACCAAAGCAAAGGTGCCTCTTTTTTTAACCAGCATTTACTTTTTAAAATACATTTTAAATTAAAATATAATCCCATTGCATCCCCTCTTCTGTTTCCTTCCCCCAAAGCCTTTCCATGTCCCCTGCTTCACTCCCTCTCAGAGTGATGCCACAAGAGTGTTCTCGTTTTTGTTTTTAATCTTTATTTTTGGGTGTGTGTATGGGTGTTTCACCAGCGCATAAATCAGTGCTTCACATATATGTTGTGTCTGAAGAGGGCAGGAGAGGGCATTGGATCTCCTGAGATTGGAGTTACAGTCCATTGTGAACTCCCATGTGGATGCTAGGAATCGAACCCGAGTCCTCTGCGTGGATGCTAGGAA